GAGCACATGGGTATGGAGACCGCCATGGAAGCCTGGAGATGCTGGAAGGCTGAGGAGCAGAGAGCCAGCTGGAAGAGTTACCCCAGCATGACTGCTCCCAACGGTGCTGTACGAGCACTTCCATGGGGCTGGCTCTGGCATCTCCTTTCCGAGCGTGCCAGCTTCTGCAGATCTCTGCTTTGGGACCGACTCGGTGTCCGCTGCGCTGGCAACCTGCACGCTGAGCGCTGACCGAGGCTTCCATCAGGGAACCTCCCATCCAGACAGCGCAGCACAACGTGCCTCAACACCTCCGCTCCTCGGGGATTCAGGGCTCCTGAAGGACCTCATTCTGGATTATTTTCAAGACGATCCTTCACCTTTTCCTTAAAGGTCTAAAACAAACCTACAGTTTCAAAACGACTTTCTACTGCATTCATACAGGCTTGAATAGGTCAGACTTTCATACGTTAGCATAAATTCATTTCAGCAGAGGTATGGGCTAAAAACTGCAGCCCTTTATATCTCAGATCTGCCCTACAAAAAGGTATGAATTAACAAAGACCTACATTAATAACAAAGGTGTTAATTATAATTGTTACAGCCCATGCAGCATGAAGTCTCCTCACACTAAGCGGTATACAACCAACCTGCCAAGGAATTTACAGCTGAAGGAGCTTCCTTCTATCTTACAGAACTTGTCACTGAGCACAGATTATTTTAAAATTGTCTTTTTAGTCCGTGGCACAGCTGAAACATTTTCTTAGTTGATATGAAAAGGTACATTAGTTGTGGATTTATTTCATTTTATAAATTATTTATTTGTATTCATTTTATGAAAATTTTCAAATTACACAAACCCACTCCTCTTTCTTTACAATTATGCTTTGTTTTTCGTTATGGAACTGAAATCCTGACAAGTTTTAAACTTCATCTCCTGTTTTTCTTACATGTCCTAACCAGGTCCCCATCCTAAACTGAAGTACAGAAAATGTCAGGAAATTCTGAAAGCAATAATATTCTTTTCCATGAGATTATGCTCTGGAATGAACTATAGAACCGCTGCCAAAACCTCTGGGAAACCCAGCACTTGAGTCTCACCCCTATATTTAACTGTTCTGGGAGAATGCAGCTAAAATAAGTGGCCCTGGCCAAGCATAATGTGCCGGCAGAAGGAGGAGTTTGCCAGGAATAAGTCCTTTAATCAAGATCAAAGCAGCTTTGGTCTTATTTTTCCTTAGGTTGGTGTTCTTTTAAACTTAATTGGAAATATTAGGAACTACATCAAAGTTTTCCAGAGTTTATAGCCATCTTGTCTTCAGAGCAGCTGAACAGCTTTTGGGGCCGTTAACGTGAAGGAATAGTGACATCAGGTGGACTATCACATTAATCACAGGCACATCTCCATTTTTCTGTGGCAACTTCTACAGAAGAATGGGCAAGTGCTTGCCACTGCGGATGCCTCTTGGCCACAGTGAGACCCCTTGCCCCTCACCAAGACGATACAGCCCTTCAAACAAAGTATATTTGGCTATTCCTAAAAAGGTCCTTACAACACACGCAGCGCTTGGTGTTCCATCTCGAGGAGGTTTCAGTTACAAAAAGAAAAATGTGTTTGTCGAACAGTAACTTGCCCACATCAGATCCTCAGCGATTTGACTGCGGGCAGCCTCTTCTAGAGGGGATGGTCCCCGTTTGCGAGGGCTGAACCCTGCCCTCCCTCCTGCTGATGCCATCCTGGGAAGGATCAGACCCAGCACCTCTTAAGAAATCAACCCAGAGGCCGAGCAGAAATGGTGCTGGGTTACAGGGCCAGCAAAGCCCAGCACTATGTTGCCCCAAGCACGCAGGGACGGATGCGAGAGGATGTAGAATCATTACAGGAACTAATCCAAGGTTTGCGGCAGAGCGAGATCCACACGGATACATGTCGCTTTCCCCAAAGTGGTCTGAAAAGACGAGCACTGTCTTAGAGGTGTGGGTTTTCCCAAAATATGTTCTGTTTGGAAACGGTACGATCAGCTGGTTCCTTCCTCCCTGCTGTAGCTGCAGTCCTGTGACAGAGGAGAGGCCGGGAGAGCCGCGACTGTTCAGCCTGGGACCAGGTGGCTCAGCAGGATCACTGAGTATTTCCCTGTTAATTCCTGAAATTTCAGCTACTTCTGAAAGAGACTAAAACAATATCGATTCTATCAGAACTCCCCACCAGATCGGCATCTCAACAACTAGCACCTAACTCTGTTCCTCAGCTTGCGATTTCCCAAAATTGGCACAGAAGCAGACCTTCTACTAAAACAAAGGTAAGTTGTTTAGCATGATTTTAACATTATTTTCCAGTAAACACTTCACCTGAACAGTTTCCACATAAGCTATATTTGGGAACCTCTGTAGTTACAGAACAGACTCTACTAACAGATTTTTAAAGCAGTTAAAGGTAAAATCGTCATCCTTAAGCTTTTCACCATCAATATACAAGACTTTTTTTTCCTATAGAAAAAAAAATTCAAAAAGTAGTGCTTGCATACTCAAATCACCCCTTTCTGTCTATTTGTTTCCCTCAATCATCCAGCTTTTGTGCCGTAAGGTTTGACTTACGCAACATAACACTCTCCTTCAGCGTTTGCTGTGAGCAAAACTTAGTTATTACCAAGTTCTGGACAACTTCTCCCATGACAAATGAAAGTTATTTTTTTCTTTTATACAATAACACCGAATTCAAATAAAATGATCGAGAATCACAGTAAAACATCAGGTGTTCACAGGAGCTACTGCACACGCTGTTCACTAAGTCAACTGAACCCCCCCCCAAAAGTGATTCACCATTAAGCAAAATGGAAATTCAGCACTAAAACCCCACAAATTTTAGATGTAGTGTTATAGAGTTTCTGTCTCCTTTCTTCCCCCCAGTAATTTACTGAGGGGTCAAAAAAGTGAAACTCCCATTAGTTTAAGGTGTGACAGGGCTGCAAGGCCGCACGAAGCCTTCTTTGGTTTCTCACTGTAAAAGCCTGTGTTGGTTGTTTTGAAGGACAAAGCTCTGCTCTTCTGAAACAGAACCTCATCACCTGGCTGGGCATTTAAAAAAAAAAAAACTTTAAAAAGTTTTCTTTCTTTTTCATCTTACTACTAGCCTACTACATGTGGCAGTACTTGCCTTCACGTAACCCCAAATTTACTTCAAATTTAACCATCATGTAACTACGTCAGAAAACCCTTTTACATCTGCATTACTAATCATAAATTACTACACATACTGCTTCTGCTTGCTACTCGCCGTCACACATACTCTGTGCCAGATCTGGCACGCACACACGTGCACACATTCACATCTCAAAAGCAACCCCCCTCCTCCCCAAGCGAACTAGGGAGACATGATGCTTCAACTCTTCTGATTCAAAATTCATCAAAATCTGGGTGAAAATTAATCATTCAGGAGTTCTGACTTAAAAATCTTGAAGCAACTTCTGTATGTGTAACAGGAGAGGAGCTTTAAGCTGCGGCTCAACCCACAGATTTTCAGAGATGCGGGGTAAGTGGCAGCCTTTTATCTACTGTGAATTAAGTACCTTTGTCAAATGACTCACTCGCTGTCGGTGACAAGACCTTGGCAAACATTCCCTTTGCTGGGACACCGTCTAAGCGCCTGGCTCCCAACCATTTAAATGTTCAAGGGACACTGTAAACTCGAGAAGCTAAAATTAGAACTAACTTTGGTTTCAAGTACACACAGCTTACCCACTCGCTGGAGAGCTGTTACTACGCGTTACCAGCTAGCAAACAAATGCACAAAAAGCCAAGCAATGTACTTGGATTTATGACTTGTTTGCTGTAACATGAGATCTTTCCAGGCAAGACTCCTGCTGAAAGATGCCTGAAACTTAATACAGACTGGCAACAGACCACGGGGAGGAGGGAAAGGAAGAGGGCCATCTCCAGTACCAAACAGGATGACAGACAAACAGCAATCCTGAAATTACTGAGACACTGCGAGGGAAAACAAGGGAGAGGAAGGAAAAGGACTGATCAAAACAGCACAGTTTAAACCAAGCTTTTAGTACTCCCCCTTCAACTGCCAACAGCAGGAAGCTTATTCCCCAACCACATAAGATAAAGGCTTGATGGTTTTTACCTCTGTCAGAAAAAACACAATGCAAACCACATCTCATTCAGACACAGAATGCGTTCACTCGCTACAGGTTACAAGTTAAAGCTCCACAATTTCCACAGACTTGGTCCAATGGTCACTAGAATCGAGTTTACCTCCATCTCCCCAGCACTACTGGCAGGTGTAGCTACTCTAAAATACATACAATGAAACATTTTTATTGCAGTGATAATTCAAGTTAGCCATGCAGCTGCATTTGTGTGAATGCTTTTTAAGCAGTTTTATGCCTTCCTAATACTGAACCAAATCACTGTCATGAGGTAAATTGTACCTTTAGTTGTCAGGAGCTTTATGGATTTTTTTCAACTGCTCTTCTACATAATAAAACAACATGACAAAGCTCCTGAGAGGGGAAGCAGAATTGCTCAGCGTGACACAAACACACAGTAAAAGATGGCAGTAAGGGGACACTGAGCTGCCAATGCCAACAGACAGCTTAGAGCTGCGCTGCATCAAAACTGCCTCTCCCAATTTCTGTTTTCCCCCTTTACAAATGGATGGCTACAAGATTGTGAGAGAACAACAAAAAGTATGAGTAACAGAAAACTAAAATCAGGTCCACCTTTTACAACCAGAAATCTCCTTGTCTTCTCTAGGCATTGCCTGGGCTTAGACAATGTGCTGAAATCCATCGGATTCACACCTGTTTGGAGACACTTAAAGGTCAAAAGACTAAATTTAAACTAAACAATAAGGCAAAAATTTCACTCCATGATTGTTTCTAAGCATTTCTTTGGATATTGCAAAGAAATAGTAAATTTTCAGCCCCCTGTATTTCTCCGACAAGCACACAAATGCTGACAAACGTGTTCTCATCGAGCTATGTGGATCCTTGACAGAGGAATCTAACACCCTGTCAGATTTATCCTACACATTTTTTTTTTTCCCAACTTCACATTATTAGTATTTCCCTCCTTTACATATGCCATTCCTTTTGAACTTTTTTTCCGTAAGTTAAAAAAATAAATGCAGTGGCAAAACCCACTCTCACTATGCTATACTGTTTCCTTATTTATACTGAGTTAAATCAAACGTAAGTGCACATAAACTTCTGTTGAACCACCTTTGTGCACTGAACTGAGATAAGACCAGGTGAATATAAGTACATAATGTCCTCCTATACCACTTAACGTCCTCTTTGAGCTTGCAGGAGAGAGAAAAGGGATTGTAAAGTTAACTAAAAAAATGATGGACCCCAAATACCTGAATCGTTTTTTTAATAGTTCCTATCTGGTGCATTAATTAGACATTATACAGATTGCTTTTAATCCACCGATACAGGCACAGAATATACTACAATGCAAAATTCATTGTATTTAATAGAAGTTTGCAATCTTTCTGATCAAGGGCTGCATCTTCGACTTACAGGGAGGGTTTTTTTGTGTAAGCACGTGTATCTGGAGTTTCTGCACCAAAGGAACAGAAGATACATTCTTGAGCTTCCCCAAAATATTATTATGTGGAATAATCTAGCAGTATCATAGAAAGCTTTAAACCTCTGTACCAAAAAAAGATTAAGACGGGAAAAATCCTTCTCGTGTGAAGACATGAAGGCACCAACCGGTAGGTAGGGGCTACACCTACAAATCCAGCAAACTACAACAAAATCCCTCTGGATATCCTTCCTTAGCAACTCTCTTCAGCACAACACAACCATTACTCCCAGTGTATAAACCTCTAGTTATTCAGCTGGTCTTTACACCGCAGAAGTTGCAAGGAGAGAGCACTCAGGTGTGGAGGGAACTTGTGGAACTTGCTGTGAAAGACGACTTGTAACTTCTTGAAACAGGGTGTGAAAGAAACAGGCCTGCAAGAAACAAAGACTGAGAAAAACAGCCAGAGAGAGAGGGAAGGGATGGGAGGAGCGGAGGCTGCCAGAGCTGAGGAATGGCTCAGACACTTGCAAAAACCAGAACTCTCATCATGGGGTGAATAACGTGGAGTTTGGAGTCGATAAGGCTGCTGGGATGGCACAGGATGGGGCCCTGTGGAGACAGGACAGCTCTGCTCTGGGCATCGTGTAGTTTCCAGGGCTGTCTGGTGAACAGCCCTTGGTTCATTATCTGCAAAATGCATATTAAAGTTGACATCCCTCCATATGCTAATGAAGATTAACAAGACCATGCTCGTTCCATCAGCCCATGAAGCACCTTACCCCTCCCCACCCATGGGATGCGTAGGGGACCTTGGGGATGGACCCGAGGAAAGTGGGTATGAATTGAGAGGGGGCAGAGAGAAACAGAGAGAAAAAAGACATGAAGAAGTGAAGATGGACTCATCCCTGATGAACCTGGACCACTGACCTCTATTTTTCCATTCTCTCTCCTTTCTTTTCCCCCTTTTCCCTCACTACCATTAAGTAACACAAGACATACTATATCGCTTGCCATAACTTGTCATATACTCAGCCAATTACCATGTATCCAGTTAATACATCGTGGGAAATCAGTAACTGTCCACGCGTGGACTTTGAGACTTGTCTCACCCTTGTCCACCCCGCTGGGGATTTATGAATCTAAGACACTTGTCTCCCTCGTTTGAGTGGGATGTGACAAATGCTTGTACCAGAAATTTAATTTAATTGCCAATTCTCCAAAAGATTACATATGAAATATTAATTTAGAACCATTATTTAGGTGCACAGTAGTGATCACATTACTTTCCATGTTCACATGATCAGTTTGTAATGTTTATTTATGTTTTGGGTACTTTTTCCTCATTAAGGGAATATTTATTACATTGACTAATGCATTATTCTGTCATCATATTTGCTCCCTCCCCCCCAGTGGCATCCTGGGAAATATGGAGATCTTCTAGCATTTCAGCCAGACTGATGCGTGGAGGACCATCATCATCTGTGTCGCTCTCCACTGGAATATCTGCATCTAAAAAAACAACAGGAAAAAAAAAAAACAACAACCAACCACTAACAAAGAGCTAAGCAAAGAAAACAAACCCAACCCCCCCTAAACAAACCCAAGGAAGGAAGGGGGGAGGAAACCCTGAACAACCAATAAACCACAAGACCAAAACCCAAACAAATCTTCTCTAAAACCCAACAATCCCAGGGCAATTGCCCTCATGGAAGATGCTGAATTATGTATCAAGTCCTTCACCAATCAGAGGCTGTGGGTGTAGGAGAAAATATGCTTCTCTCTGATGTTAAAGACAAGCAAACAAACCCCATCAATACCCACTCAGTGCATGTGAAATACCTGAAGCTATTATTATATTACAGCATCAAAGAATCCAAATATAGAACTTCACTAAAAATATTTTCACTCGAATATTCATGATTTAGTTACACGCAATCAAACAGTTAGGAAGGTCTTACTTCGGTAAATGTTCACATTCTTCCTTATGGCTTCATCTTCTTCGAGATCTTCAAGGAAGTCCTGGTATTGTCTGTAAGAGATGCTTATGTATTTATTGCCTTTTCCTTTGGATTTGTGCAAATTTATAAAACAAAACAAAATCAAAGAAACAAAGCCCCAAGGAAGGACGGCGATCCACAGTCCTTCAGATGTGCTCACTCCTGCTTTTTTCTTTATTATCACCTATGAGTTTCCAAATTATTTAGTTTGCTTCTCCTCATTTAAATCCAATTGCCTCATTTTTTCTACTCAATTGAACGTTGTTGAGAATCTGCTGTTGCTGTATCAGCTCTGTCACCGAACAAACCAGCGCCAAGCGTATTTTCACAGAAGTGTCCCTTTACCTCAACAGACACCAACTGTAAGCTACTAACACAATGCTTCTGGCATTACTCATCTATCTCATGATTTAAGCTCTTCTTGGCAAAAGCATAAAAATATTTGCATTTTGCAAGAGCAAACCCGAAAACCCTACAGCGTTAGCGTCTAAGATTTCAGGATTCAGTCTGTTTCCACACCACCCCAGTCTGCTGTCCTCAGTATCCATGTTCCCTGAACACCTGGGCAGTTAAGATGTCAGATGTTAAGTGCATCTCCTTAAAGCCCTTCCTGCACTAGGGAAAAGGGAAAAAAGCAGATACTGCTCTTCAGAGAACGCTGAGATCAACCTGCCCTAGGAGCCAGCACCGTGCTCATGCAGAACCAGCAGCGTTTGCTTGTGCCCCCTGAACAACCAGCCCATCAGCTTCAGCACTAGGCTGGGTTTATCCTCAGAGACACTGAGAAATGTTATTCCTGGACACGTGCAGTATCCTGGATAGCAGAGACCACAAAGCTTCAGGGCAGATACGGAACCTTTCGTCGTCTGTATCCGTGCCTTCTTTGTCCCTTTCTAGCTCCTTCAGCTTCCAGTTTCTGCGACGCTGGCGTTTGCTACGGTCGTAGCTCTTCTTTATTAAAACCTACAACGAAAACCAGCACGTATTTACACATACACACCTTCGATGCTCCTGGTGACACTTTCAAAAGCCAAATCAACACCCAGGTCTAGACTTGAGCAACTGTAAAATCAGCTCAACAAGCAGCGGAGTCAGTCTGGCACTCAGAAGCTTCACAGAGCATTTATATAGTATTTGTCAATTCAAAAGTTTCCAAACACTTTGGATTATGTCCCGAAGAGGCATAGACACTGTGGAGCTGTAACACAGTTTTCACTACACAGGGTGGTAATTTGAACAAAAACCAACAAAGAGTACAGTAATTTAAAGCAAATGTATTATTTAACCACCAGTCAAAAATTTAAGTATTGAGAAAGTAATTCTCAGAATTAGATGCTATTAAAATTTCAATATTAATATCCCTTCTACCTTTAGGCACTATGGAGCTAATGAGTATTCATTATAAAATCCTATTCCCTAATACCCCTGGGTAACACAGAGAACTTCGTAGAGAGAGAGAAAAATGGTCTTACCACATCGGGAATATTGTGTGGGTTCATCTTATTGGCAAACTCGTCATTTAAGTTGCAGTTCACCAAGTCAAATCTAAAATGAAAATAGGTATTTTATCCTACTCTTTTACATGTCTACAAAATTGAACTCAATGTATCATCTGTTTGTATTCAAGAGCAGCATAGTATAAGTTACAGCTCCTAAAAAAGATAAAACGTTTCCAAATGAAGTACAGCACAAATAAAAATTCCACATCAATATGCAGATGCCATAACTATGAATAACTCTTAGAAGCTGCTGTTCCCAAATCCTGTTCAGTAGCACTCCCCAGCCTCCTGAACCCAAACAGCAACAGCCACCGAGGTTCTGCTGGGCTCACAACAGCTCCAATAAGTCATGTTTAAGCCTGTTTGAGAACGACCTAATTTGCCTAATTTGCAAAATTTAACATTTGTCACTGCTGCATACAATACTTGCTATCAAACAAAAAGATCTGGCCTAGCACTTTAAAAATCCCTCCCACCTATTTGTGTCTAAACTGTTATTCCAGTCTGCACTCTAAAGTCAGTACTTGAGCTCTCTCAGTCCTAACAGCCCTCTTCATGAGATGACTTCTGCTAGAAAAAAAGATTTCCTGAATTAGGGCCATCTCTTCATGGCCACGATGGAAAGATTCTATCCCTTTTGCTGATTTCATTTAGAAATCCAAACAGCTCAAAACTTTCTTGATCATACACAAGCCTGTAGAGAATCCATGAATTCAGTAATTAAATAATCATGTAATAAAAAAAAAAACAAGGAACAGGACAGACCCCAAGACAAGGTCGCCGGGATTCAGAATGTGCCCCAAGTGAGTACAGCAGAAATACTGACGATCCGTATCCAGCTCTGAGGTTTTCCGTACCCAGGCTTCAGCCAGCGTGTGCTTGAGGAACGAAACACAACACTCTTGTCAAACGCAGCAGAACTTGCTGTGCTGTCAGAACATCTGCCCAACTATACTACTGGTTTAAATTACATCTATAATTCAACTGGTATTTCTACATCAAGCATTCAATGTACTGCTTGCTGCTACTCATTTCTCATCTTTACAAGAGTAAGGAAATGGACACACCAACTACCATTCACAGGAATTCCACAAAGGCTGTTTCTGTAACTAGACAAGAGTTTGTTTTGTTTTGTTTTGTTTTAAACTTTTTAACTTTCAACCACATGTAGCTTTTGACTGAGAAGAAAACATTTGGTACTGATCTGTCAGTTTTGATTAAAAAAAAATGCTTCTATGCTTCAGCAAAGCCAATTTAATAACTGAAGAGTTACAGAGCTAATAGAAAGTAATTCCAATAATGACAGTAACAAGGAGAGTTTAAACTCTTCAACAGAAAAGAATTTCTGAAAGTGGAATTCACGTAACGCCTGGGAAACTTCCAAACCAAAACACTGTCCACATCTTCCTGAGAAGAGCTTTTGTCAGTGGCAAGACAGAAAAGTAGAGACCTGACTTTGCAAGGCAGAATGACTCAAAACAAAAGTTTGGCTGAGTAGGGGAGGGAGGGGAGAGGAAGGCCCAAACCACCGGAACAACTAGAGAGGGACTCTCACCTTGTTTGATCTTGCCCCTGCACCAGCACTTTTTTTCTTTTCCTGAACCCTATTGATATCCATAATGATAAATTCCTCTAGCTGTTTGGGTTGGAACAAGCTGTTGAAAGGGTGGCGCCAGTAGGTATTGCCATCGATTTCAGCAACTGGAAAAGAAACCACCAGCACAGGCAATCACAAGGGAGAGAACTTCTTGCCAAGAAATTAAAAGGGAAGCATTAGCCAAAATGAAGGTAACTACCACATGCATTTTGTTCATGTTTATTATTCTATTTAGTATTTAGGACATGACCCATACTGCGAACTCGTGCTACAGGAGCAGTTGCTCTGTGACAGCCAAATCACGTACCATGTGTCGGAAGCACAGACCTTTTAATTCATGGGAATCACTCTCCTGGATCTATCCTTATTAGAGATGTTTTACCAGTAGCCTTTACCCGAAAATACTCAAAGCACAGTGTTTCTGGGACTGAGGTAGCTAGAGTCATAATCCAGAGAAAAACCTAGATACCGCCTAATTTTAGAGGGATATACCTGACAAATTTAAGTGCTTAGCCTAAAACATCCATGAACTTAAACCTGACACTGCACATTTTGCCTAGGATACTACAGAAATTAAGCTTAGAGAATTATGTCTTAGTTCGCTATTAAATTTCTACATCAGCAATTGTACAGATAAATTCACAACATTAAGGTCTCAAAACAGAAAATTTCACGAAAACAAAAAACAAACAAAAAAAATTTGTGCCAGCATAGTGCAGAAAAGAACCCTTAACTTACTCTGCAGAGTGCAAGGATCGATGAGGTGGATGGTGCTTGTTACTCTAATGCACACACAAATCTGGCTCATGTTACCAAGACTCTGCGCCAGTTTTGGTGACAGACACACAACATTGTCCTGCATACAAATAGAAAAGAATTTACACTCATATTTCTTTAATTTTTAATCAAGTCTTCAGAGAAATCTGAAATAGATTTCTAAACTTTGTCTTTCTCTACCCAGTAACTTCAAGATAGCTGCTAGCTGCACTTCCCACGCTTTGTGAGGAGCAGACCCCTCCATCCCCACAAATGCCCAATAAAACAGGTCTCCATCACCAAAAACAAACTCTACCCACTTCATACAATACCCTGAGGATGAAATAGAGAGAAGGTACCTTGCATATTGGAACAATTTCCACAGAGAAAGTGCTTTTGTAATTGTAGACATTACTATGAATATCATGTGAAATCAAACGCTGGGATGATTTTGATCTATTAAAGATAAAAATAGTGTTCAGGGCAGCAAGGACATTACTTGAAACAAGGAGATAATCACACAAAGTACAGCAATGGAAATGCAAATACAAAAATTAGGAAAATTAAAAAAAAAAATGCATGAGGGCTAATTTTACAATGGCCAAGTGGAAAACATGGGACTTCCACAGAAGGGATTTTGTCTGTTTTAGCTAGAATAAAGGTTCCTTACACCTTCACTTACAAAATTATTTAAAAATGCAGGATAAAAGACATTTCTCCAAAGCTTTTCCGTACTCAAGGCAATAAATGTAAATGATATACCTAGATGGAACTGTACACTGAAGAAAGTCAACCATCTTCTGGGCCTGTTGCTTTGAAGAGTAATAAAAATCCAGGCCATCTTAAAGAAAAGAAAGCTTGATGAACATATCCATTGCAAGTACTGTGTTTTTTTTTTCAAATACAATACAGAGGCTAAGCGATCTGCTGCTTATCTGTACATGCTACTAACACAAGCACCCTTCCCGTGTAACACAGCTTAGCCTGTTCTACCTCAAGACTTACAAACCACCTCACTCACCATGGATTTCTTTGATGCGAAGTGTATTTTGATGAAGCCTGTGTTTTAAAATCAGCTGCTCCAAATAGTAGAAGGTCTTCTTGTGCAGAGTCTAAAACCAAAGATAAAATTATCAGGTTATTTAAGAATCGTCCAGTGCAAATGCAGTATTTCTGAAGAATAGTTTTTATTATAAGATCATCGAGAGAAGGAATAGCCCCAAAGTCTATTCCAAGTAACCAAAAAGGTTTCAGAGATGTGCTCTACTTATGCCAAATTATTTAAAGCTTCTGTTTCTCACTGCTGTGTAACTGGTCACAAGAGAAACTATTTGAAGAAGATTTAAATATTTATAAACAATCTATCCCACTGTTTCTAACACTACCTTAAAATACAGGAGGATTTTTAGTAATTCACACAAAATCCTCCTGCCAGCTGTCATTTAAAAAGAATATGCTAATAACACTGGACAGCAGGAAGTTTTTTCTAAACTAAGATCAGTAAGAACAAAAACGAAACTTAAGCAAAAATATATCGTTGTGGCAGTGTGCAAGTGTGAGTATGTATTTTTCTAAGAAAATCCTTCAAATATTTGTCTGCCGGATTGTTCTGCCATAAAGAAATGAAAAATCAATTTGCCTCTACCTTTTGTCTGACTTGCACTACAGCTTTCCAGAAATCCTTAGCTTCGATCCTATGACAGTCTTCACACATTTGGGACTGAACTATATATTCCACGACAAATACTTGCTGAAGAACTGCTCCATTGATCACCTGCAAAACAAAAGTTTAAAAGGTCACGACCCCTGTCAAGACAGAAAGCTAGTTTACCACAGCATTCTGAAATAACTTCCACACTATACTAAAACTACGTGACAGACAGCTGTATGTAGGTCACAATTATTAGTAGTATTTTCCCAACTTTACTGCAACAGCCAATAACCTTCTTCAAACTGATGAATGGCACTTTAATGACAAAATTTAGGCAGGATGAAATCAATATTCAAGATAAGCCAGTAAACACATGCTGGATTTTACCAAAGAAAAACACTTATCTAAAATGATTAAAAATAAAATCACATTCTTTGCCATAAAAGCTTTTACAAAGCCACACGCGTAAGACTATATTCCAGTTAACCTCTTTCTGAACAGTGAGCTTCAGCTTCAGCCTCTTAGAATGTGGTTCGGTCCAAATAAAGCCTGCATCAATCAGCCGGACCTGCCGGGGGGAAAGAGCAAAAACTCAGCTCCTGCCAGCAGCTGTACTAGTACACGCAGCTCTAACGACCACAGAACACAAGCTTATGGTTTTAGCTCACAGTTCCTCAACCAAGCGAGAAAGTGAATAACCTTAATTAAGAACATATGTATCAGCATATCAAAGGCAATTAATAGTGCTTAGAGAGTCTGATCTACCTGAAATAACGGTGATGCAACCTCGGTCGCAGCAGATGAACCGAATACGTTCTTTGACAGTATCTCTGGATGCCATGTAACGATGAATTTGGACAGTATAATGGTTTTCTTGGGACTAAAAAGCCAATTTAATCTCTAAAGCTAGTAACATGCAAATTTACTGCAGCAAAAGATATTTTATATGTTTAAGTGCTAACCCAACAGCAAGAAGCTCAATAAGGCAACCCAATCAAACCTTGACGACGGTAACAAAACAATTTTTTTTGCCTAAAACACTACCTTGGAATTTTTTCCTCTGGTAAGATTCTGAACCTGAGACGCTTTATTCAACTTAAACATGTGACTTTCAATTTAATCTATATATAGACCTCTGCAACCCTCATTTATATTGTCATAAACCAGTAAGCACAAGTGTTGCATAAGCAATTTTATAAATGTAAAAAAAGAAAATTGTAAAATTAAGGTGCATTAAAAACATGTTAGCTTCTTTCAGTTAATTATGCTCAATTCCCATCTACACAGCAACAATTGTGCGTACACTGTGTGTTTTTAAGTCACAGAATTGCACTGCAAGAGCCTCCTCAGCATGCTTGGAAGTTTTTCATTAGAGCCTGTCCTTACCGAATCTTCCAAAATTCTTGTAGAGAGCTATCTGAGATCAGACTGTCATTCTCTATGTTTAATATAAATCTAAGCTCTACACCGGTACACATGGCTGCTCTGGAAGGACTGAATCCTGTATAAGCTACCTGGATTTTATTTTATGCAACACCAACAGACACACTATGATATACCAGTAGGATTTGCTACTCACCTTGCTCAGCGAAGCTTTCATTTTTTTAAGACACAAAGCAAGAAGCTCCCTGGATTCTAAGGTACACTGAATCCAAGTTCCTGGAGGCTGAAGATACCTACGATACAGGAAGCATTTTACAGCACACCGAAGCTGCTTCAGCAAATTAAACCCCTGGAAAAGATGAGCAGCTATTTTCCAAGCTTTCCGTTTTAATATCAACCACGCAGCTACGACTTTCGCCTCCCCCAGCAAAAAGATTCACGCTTTCACTGCCATCCTCACCGATTCGCCCGCTTTTTTTTTCCTCGCAAGCACCGCAAACTCACTCATTTACATCTTCCAGACACTACATACCGCCGCCTTTGGGCTTCCACAGGGCAAAAAGAAACACAAGAACGCGCAGAAAAATCGGAAGAGACCCGCTCGCCCCTGAGGGGAGGCGAGGGCGGGAGCCCGGCCGCTCACCTTTCGCACTGCCTGCAGAAGTGGAGGGTGCCCTGCTTGGGGATGCCCTCGGTGATGTCCACCTGCGCCCGCAGGCACCCCACGCACATGTTGGCCGGGTTGGGCGGGATGGGCACGCCGCACTGGCAGCAGAGGCTGCAACACAAGAG